AATCAAAAGTGCAAATAAACCAGAGGTGAGGACTAATCCCAGTGCTAATACAGCATTTCCAGGTCAAATATTCCCTACTAGTACCCGATTGTTGTGGCTAAATTGCTCACAGCGATGGAAAATGAGGTCATGGACCTATAATCGAGATTCTAATAATCGTCGATGTTATCCGCAAATTTACTCCCACCTATAATCTGGAAAAATATTTGGAATAATAAGATTAATTATTATCCACGATAAACTTGCAGATAACAGGAAGGCGTTGCGTAATTCGGGATGGAAAAACTGGATGGTGGGAAGAAGAGGACCACGGATAAATAGGAGTTTTTGTGGACCCTACAGTTCCCGTGGATAATTGGAGCAATGTCAGAGCAGTGGGTAGGGGAGGATCACAGATAAGGGGATATGTGCTGTTAACCTGTAATGTTAGGGTTGTGCGAGGGATGCTTTGCTCTACACACGGAGAGGTCAAGAATCTGAGTTGATCTTCCCACGTGAGGGTAGATGGACTTTCTCGTGTCCAATTTAAATAAATAATTGCACAACAAAGAGCTCAAAAGAAACTTCCACCGCAGAATGAGGAGCAGGGTGAATATTAAAAAACATGTTTAATAATTGCTGTTTGAGTCTAGCAGGAAGCATAAATGTTCGAATATTCATGGCAGCGCCGATGGATTAACTCGCACTATCTCACGCACAATAAGGGAATGTGTGTGGCTGTCAAGGGGAGGCATTTCAATTTACGTCTGTTAAGAAACTGTTTTTGTCGCAGCGTCCTTTGTGTGATCAGGGCTTAACTGCAGCCGGGTCTGTTTGGGTTGGTAATCCGGAAAATATTTCTGCACTCGGCACACACCATCCAGAATACCTCTTGCTAATGGCTGTGGCTGCTAGTCACGTGCCTGCCCCAGTTTATCGGCGACCGTAAAAAAGTACCGCATTCTTACGGAAAATAATGCCCTGGGTGTGATCATTGATTCGGAGCAGAGCAAGCCGCACTTTCTTTCACCTCGTTTGGTCGCATCTGGCGGAGGCAATTTTCTAAACGCGCACTGGGAGCCGTCGGTGCCTTGAATTCTCACTCCCACACTCTGCCCGACTTTGAAGTCCAATTAAGGGGGGGACACCATCGCCGCCGCCGCTGCCGTCGAATCTTGAACTCTTCTTTTATCCACGCCGTACATTCTGACAGCCGCTCTCTTAACGTCGCTATTACGGCAAATCGCGCAGCCGTTGCCAACGCCGCCATCATCGCCATCATTACCGATATTAACGTGCGGCGTGGGAGCCCCGCTGGACGCCAATCGCCCCGCCTGTACGTGTGCACGGGGGGCGCATGGCGGTGTGGGGGGGGGCATAGGCCGTGCCGTCGGAATGCTGAATTGCAAATCGGCACCTCGAAGGTGACGTTCGTCTGGCTCGTTTCGTCACGCGACTCGACAATTTTCGTCGGAGCAGGCCGCTGTGTTACTTCTCACCCTATACCCCCTCGCACTTTCTCCCCATTGCTGGATGACGGCCCTTTCCAAGCCGCTGCCATCTCAGAGTCTCGCGATGCAACAATCTGTATATATCTCTCCGGCAGGCGAGGTTGTTCAATTGCTCCATCTTCGCAGCGGACGTGTCGCCGGTCCGTTGGGCCGTCACTCCTTTGTTAATCTTGACCACCGGTCGTCATCCTTCCAGTGACGTCTCCCACGACGATGTCTTAAATTTGCGTATGTCCTCTAATCCATATGTTCCTCTTCCTGTCTCTTAGCGTAATTCCAAGCTTAAGTTCCGTACGTCACAGCGGGTCGTACGCACTGATTAACATTTGGCCTTTTAGCAACATTGCTAGGTTGCCTCTCCTTACGAGTTTCAGCTTTGTAAATGCAAGCATCTCAGACCGGCGGTCACTAGCCTCTCTTGCCATCTCTTTCATCCCAGTCCACATTCGCTTCACTGCTCGGGGCACGCCACACTCTGACGTGCTTCCCAGGCGTTTCCCTCACCGCAAATTAAACCGTGGTCACAACACACTGCAGGGAGAGTGGGCGGCCCCAGCCGCCACCAGTGGCCCAGGTGCTGATCAGGAAGCTAGCATGGATCTCCTGGGCGTTCTGCCTTCTTGGCTGGCGATTCGAGCTCGCGGGATGTTGCGTTGGAGAACGAGCCAGCAACAACGTTGCAGTTGGGCCGCCCAAACGCCGGAGTTGGCCCCCCGATTTAGCAACGGCAGATTCGAGCAGGGGCTCGTGGCAAATTTCACTGGCTATTTTCGGCCCCTCTTTGGCAGCACTGACCCTCCAATTACTGTAACGACCGGCCAAGTCACGCGCCGGGATGTGCCGTGGCTCGCAGAGAAATTGTCAAACTCACCGGTTATATGTCGGCGAATGTTTATATCCGCTTTGTTAGTTCCGCACTTAACTTTTTATTCCCGTCTTCACCTTTCGTACGCACGGTGGCGAGTGTTGATCGGCAAGCACTCCCCACGTTGCTCGTGTCGAGGTTGGTCAGTGAGTGAGCGAGTGAGCCAGTGGACTGCGTCAGGAGTAGCCGCAAGGTAAATTATTATCTGGAACGCCGCCGGCGAAAGATCGAGGCGGGCCAGAGGCGTTGCTGTGTGGAGGTGTCATCGGCAGCACTGGGGGCTTAAGTGGTTCAAGTCGGAGGTGGGATCAGGGTTAAGGGTCGGCTCTTGAGCAGCGTTAGGATTTCGAGCCGTGGGGTTAGCGCGCACGGGGGGATTAGGAGGCTGAACGTTAAATGGGGCGGGCTAGGACGTTTAGGACAATGCCAGAGGTTAGAATAGGGGTTTAGAAATGTGGGGAGGTCAGGGTTAAGTGTTACAGGCATTTGGGGTGAGGGTTAAGTTGAGGGTCCGACGGTCACGAGGTTAGGGCACTGCCAAAGACGCGTCCCCTCCCGTACGAGAGACACAACAGCTGGAGCGCCCGGCGCAGCTCCACACTCACACAGCAGCTCCACGCTCACGCCGCATACAAATCGTCAACGTGGGGGGTGCTCCCCCTGCGCAGAGCCCCGGGTGGTTCCGTTTGTTTCTGCGTCGTGTTCCATAAACAACGCGGATCCCCCCCCCCCCAGCCAGGCAGGGACCGGACACAGGCCTTGAACCTCACGATTTACGACCGGGGTTTATCGCGACGGCGAGTCCGCGGGGGAAGTCGTGACCGGTTTCAAACGGCGGCGTCGCCTCCGCCCTTGGAGGCTGCGGCGGCGTCGCCCCGACGTTCGGGCCCACCTCGTCCATGGCTAGAAGCGGAAGCGCGAGACGCTGAAAACGTCCACCCGTGGCACGGTCGGCTACGTACGGTGCGAAGGAAGTTAAACGTACATGCACGCGGAACGGTCAGAGTGGTTAAGAACGGAGTGGTTAAGGACCCCGCGATTGGTTTTGCCCGTCGAGAGAGATGAGAATCGTTCGGTGGGGAAGCAGGAAGAAGCAGGCCCGTGCCAGCAGGTGCATTGGCTGTGACCGCAAGTGTTGCTGCCCCCCCCCCTCCCCGTGTACCGAACGAGTCACCGTGGAATTGCCGCCGTTCGTGGCGTCATCGGTGGTATCGGGAGAGGCCATCGCGTCTCACAGTAGTCGCCGAACCACTGCAGTGCCACGCTTCTTTTGGCAGGGGGCAATAGAGCCACGTTGCTGCAGTGCCACTGGAAAATGTAATTTCGTTTCGTCGATCCAATTTCGATTGATACAGCACGAGCGTCTTTTTTTTAATGAGCATTTCCGGTCACTAAAAAATACAGTTACAAAGAGCACAATTGCAGTTGCAATTTGTATTGCTGTGGCGTCGAAATGTAAATGCATCTTGATTCGGCAGATAAAAAGGTTGGCGGCTTTCTTTTAGAGAGATAGGCAGCCTGTCGGTTTCTGGCAGAGGAGGAAAAAGCCTTGATCCTGGACTTGTTTAGGGGCAGGGAGATGACAGTACAGACGATTGAGGGAAGGGAGTTTTAGACCATCATTGCGGTGTCGGAGAACGAGTGACCTCCCATTGAGTTAAGGTTGACTTGGGGCTTCCACAGAAATCCGTGGTTGCTGGAGGTGAGAGTGCGTTGAGGAGAGGAGAGTGAGAGGAGAGGGGAAAGGCAGGCGTGTGCATGGAGGGGAGTAGAGTGAGATGAGAGGGGAGAGGTAGGAGAGTGCGTGGAGGGGAGTAGAGTGAAATGAGAGGGGAGAGGTAGGAGAGTGCGTGGAGGGGAGAGGTAGGAGAGTGCATGGAGGGGAGTGGAGCGAGATGAGAGGGGAGAGGTAGGAGAGTGCGTGGAGGGGATTAGAGTGAGTTTAGAGGGGAGAGGTAGGAGAGTGCGTGGAGGGGAGTAGAGTGAGATGAGAGGGAAGAAGTAGGAGAGTGTGTGGAGGGGAGTGAGCGAGATGAGATGGGAGAGGTAGACCAGGGGTAAGTCCATAAAGGCCCTGTAAAGTGATGATTACTTTGTAAAGGAACATAAATTGTGCTTTGATGACTTTACATATTCACCACACTTTCACCAATCAGGACTGGCCAGCTTGGTGAAGTATGGTCAAATAACCCCCTCACTCACACAGGCCTTCAACGAGGAGGGGGGGCTTCCATCTAGCAGTGAATTGATACAAAAGGGACCGTGCATGTAGGTGTTGCCGGAAATGATTGGCACACAAAACACACCGATATTAGCTTTCGACAGGTGTGTTCCATCCATTCGCTCCAGTGAACCACCATTTCACCTACTGAACAAAGTATCTCTGTGCGAGGCTGCGCGTCTCTGCGAGTCAATGGGTCTCTGTGTGATCTCGTGTCCATTGCGGGCGCTTCCCGCGGGCACGAACTGCGTAGACGCTCGCTGCTCTCTCAAGGCAAAAGCAGCTGGACTTACGACTTAGAAGACGCTGCTTTGTAGTCGCGACTCAACTCGTATCCACACGCAAGGAGGAGAAGAAGCAGCGCCACAAAAACCTAATAGCGTTTCTCGTTTTGCCTTCTCGGTGCCTCGTCCGCGCGTCGCAGAGCGTGACGCTGGGGCGCGATGCAGTCCGACTGCGGCTCGCTGATGGACGTGACGGCTTTGCCTCCTGACTCAACGAGAAGCAGCTGCCCCGCCGAGCTGGAGATGGAGGTAAGCGTCAGTCGCCGGTCGTGCCCAACAAACTGGTATCCGACTTAACGCGTAGTATTGTTCACAGCGAATGTAACGATTTGGGCGGCGTAACAATCCGGCCAAATTTGTGTCGTTAAGAACCTTCCAACACGGCCAGACAAATTTTATTACCGCGTGTGCACGAGTTTAACAGCGCACTAATTTTCATTGTCTCAGCTCACCGGGAGGCCGAGGAACAATTCTCACAACTAATCTCGAAATGTTTTTGTGAGAATTGTACTTTAACTTGCCGGCGAACACAAACGACAACAATCGGTGCTTTTAAACGCTCGCGCACACTCACACACACACACACACACCGCGCGTGACAATTTCTGCGTGGCCGTGTTGGGGTGGCGGAGGGTGGCACGACACAAAAATTTGGGACCCGGACCGTTAGGTGGCCGAACCCAACAAAAACAACATTTACGAATCTCAACATTGAACTGCGTGCACCTCACACGCGAAGCCGGTCAACGCGACGTCTGATCGCCGTTAGATCGGCACAATGCTCAACGTCTACTGATGCCGTCTGCAGGAGGAGGGGGCGCAGGGAGCGGACGAGCCCGGGGCAGCGGCCGGCGGTTGCCCCGGCGTGCGGGACCAGGGCTGCCAGGCTGACCTGCGGGCCACGCGATGCTGCGCGGAAGGTATTTATTAATTTTAATTTCAATTTGTTACCTACGTGACTTTACCGAAAAAACTAAGAGCATAAGGTAACCAGTGCCATTTCGACGTCCGTTTGTAACGCACGCTTGTATGGATGTATGTACGCTGAACTTCTTTCGTACCGTACGTAGCCGACCGTGCTAATCAGAGGTGTGGGGGAAGGATAACAAACTAAATGCGTATTCCTGTGACGTTTGTGGGGGGTTTTTTTCTCTTAGAAAAATACAAAATCTAATTACGTTCTACGCGACGCTGTGCAGAAATTTGCAAGTGCTGTGGGTGTCTTATTTTTATTGTTTTGTTAAGCTGAGTTTGCACACTCCTGTCTGTTTGTACATTTCAAAAATAAAGTCGACTATTATGGCCCCATTATCAGGCCTAATATCGAGTTTCAATGGGACTGCCACATTGAGCCCAGCTGGACTGACTGAATCGGACTGATCTTTCCCACGATGGAGTTGAAGACAAACTAAAGCTTAAGCTGGCAAAAAAAATAAGTAGTGTTTCTGTGATTTACCGAGTTGAAGTCATCTCTGCGTGGCCCAGCGGTTGCGCGTTCGCCGCTCGTTGCAGAGGTTCACGGTTAAAATCCGGCGGCTCCCTGATTATTGCTTCACGTGTGATGACCATAATAATAACGCTAAATGCCCTGTCTGCATCTCCTGTGGATGTTAAAGATCCCACGACGTCTTTCTCAAGAGTAGGCCCATTGTGTGCTGGCCAGCTGGCCAATTTTGCCACATTCGAAAATTACTCATTTGGGATTACACACGCCTCCTACTGGCAGACGAATGCCCCAGGCCACTCTTGCACGTGAGACGTTCCTGATTTCTTGAGTTCTCAGCCGGTTAAACAAAATCACCTTAAACTCTCCCAGAAACACGTCTGAGTTAAGATTTCCCCCCAGAAATCCCTGCGAGTTAAATGGTCAAAACTGCCTTGCTAAACAAAATTGAGATTTATTTATTTATTGTTAATTTAGATGCAAATTCAGATGCGAGTTGTGCAAGGGCATGTTTGTTGTGGCCTCCATTCCAGCGGCGGAGCTGGGAGACCCTCCTCTCGTGCAGCAGCAGCTTCACACGTCGAGACACGGCGTCCGCCAGATCCTCGAGTGCCTCCGCGTTGGTACACAGCAGCGCACGCACACGCACGCGCTCGTGCGCACGCACGTACAGCAGCACGCTCACGTGCGCACACACGCATGCTCACGTACGTGCGTGCGGCGCGCGCGCGCACAGCAGCCTGCGCTCACGCACAGCGACACTCGCGCGCGCACACAGCAGCAGCGCACGTACACAACGCACAGGAGCACACGCGCACACAATACAGCGCACGCACAGTGTGCTGGCTGAACACAGTGTGGTGAGTGAGTGAGTGTGTTGTGACCTGCGGTGTGCTGGTGAACACAGTGCGGTGAGTGAGTGTTGTTTTGATCTGCGGAGTGATGGCTGGATAAAGTGTGGATAAGACTGCTGGCTGCCAACATGGATGGAGAATGAGTGACGTTCACAGGAGCAGTGACAATGGTAGTAGCGATAGACGAGTGATAGGGAGGCGAATGACCACCGGTGAACGAGTGACTGGAGTGACTCATTGAGGTCTGCATCATCACTCAGCCTGACTGCTTTGCGTTGAATTCCATGGCTATTTCAATTGTGGCTCCTGGCATCACCCTGTGTTGGAGCAGAATATTACAGCGGACAGTGCTAGTTCCGCAGACAGCGCTTTGCGTGGTCTGTTTTTTGCGTTGTGAAAAAGAAAGAAATTTAGCTTTCTTTAAAAATTCTTTGGTGCTCCCACAACTGCGCTCCCCACATTCACCAATCCGCGACTGACCGATGTGTTGAAGTACGGCTGAACAACCCCTGGTTAAGTTCTCGGAGCTGGCATTTGCCAAATGAAGTTTGGGGAAAACTAAAAATGGAATTCAATACGAATTTTTGTGTGTGCAGTCGTTGGTGACCAGGCTGAGGACCGTAGACTTCGCTGCACATGAGAACCAAGTTTAATCACGGGGTGGTTGCACAGATTTGAACCCAGGATCTCAGTGGTTGCAGCCCGTGTTGCCCTCCCGTCTACTTTATAAATTACAACAAACAAAACTCCACGCGTTTGTCAATAACAACACTGTGGCCTTAAGAGGAAAAATATATACTCGGTGACGTTTTGGGGAAATAGCCCTTCATCCTAAATAAAGAGAGGCCAGAGCCAGAGTGGATAAGAGTCGGACACTGCACTATGCATTGTGGGGCCGAATAAAAAATAGTAATCTTTCAAATCTTTCCCCGATTATGTGTTTTTAATTAGCGTATGAATATTTACACTGAGTAGCTACTGATTAACAGACAAACCCTTCAGCAATGGAATTTCATACAAATGACTTAATTTAGTAATACAAAGTTAAATTAAGTAATCCTTATTAATATCGTTTCAATATCATTGTTTATTTCTTTGCCTCATCGCTTCTGTGATGAATGCCACTATAAGGGCAGGCTGGATGTAATGTAAAATAACTATTGAAAATACATTGTGGAAAAATTGTAAAATATATATATATAACGTCACCTCATTTTATTAATTAAATTGTGTTAAATCACTATTCGTTAGGCTCGCGTGTGTGTCTGGAAATCTGGTTTAGGTCTGCCACGGCCATTATATTCAATGAAATTCACTCCTTAATAATTCCGACAATTTTTTATTTAAAGCTTTCGTGACTGCAGGGATTCATATTCTTGGTTCTTTTGGTAAAGTCACGTAGAAGGGAAACAATAAAATAATAAAAATATAAAACAACAAAAAATTCTCACGACGTTTTGACTGCAACACAAGCAGTCATCATCCGGTGTGGATTTCACATAATCATCAGGTGTGGATTTCACACCTGATGGTGATTGCTTGTGTTGCAGTTGAAACGTCGTGAGAATTTTTATTGTTTTATATTTTTATTATTTCCCTTCTACGTGACTTTACCGAAAGAACCAAGAATATGAATCCCGACAATGTCAAGGACTCATTTTTGCCATGGTGACTCGTGCCATTGGCACCCGCATTGCGGTCCACAACCATGCTGCAGGACGAATCTTATTGAATCAGAATCTTTATTTAGACTGGAGGAATCCGATGATATGATTTTTTTGTATCCAAGGTCTCACAATATTGGGGTGTATTCCAGGTAATATGGTGAGATCTCAAAAGCTCTCAGAAAATATGTTTTTGTATTATCAGAATCAGAATGTCTATTTGAACTGGAGGAAATCCGATTAGCTATAAAGATCTTTTACACAGATGTCCAGTCGGGGCAGGTCAGCAAGTCACAACAACAAACAATACAAAATCGCTTCACACCCCACAATATTTGCCTCGTATGGCTTGACTTTGGTACTGCCTCCTGTCGTCTCATTCTAAGCCCCTTTAACCTTGAACCATTCAATTAACGAGTAATTTTTTTACCTTCTGTGCTGTCATTTGTTCTTTCTGTGACTGGCTTTAGAACTACCTTCCCATTGTCTCATTTTCCAAGCTCTCCTAGAGCCTTGAACCATTCAATAAATGTGTGTTCTTCTTTATTTGCTGTGCTGTCATTAGTTCTGTATGTTACTGGCTTTGGAACGACCTCTCATTGTCTCTTCGTCTAAGTATCTCTAATCTTGCTCAATTCCCAAAAACCGTGTTGGCTCTTATCTGCTCTACTATCATTTGTGCTATCTATAGCTTGCTGCTTTACTTGACACTTGCGATAAAGGTGTACTTAATTGGCAAGAGAGAGGAAGGAGCCTTACTGTCTACAGAAGAGCTCTTAGATGCATGAGGTTTTTAGGCTGTTTTAAAACATCCCCCCCCCTTAATTTATATTACAATCGTGTTAATCGACATCACGGTATTGAGGCAAAGAAAATGCCTTTGGGAACTCTAGCGGAACGGTGCATCGGCCTGTGTTGGAGAATAGCCCGCCGCGGAAGGTGACGTCACAGAACTACTTCTGAGTTCCCTTCATTCGATTGCTTATCCACACTCGGGGGGCAACTGCACTTTCACACGTGCCCTGCTATGGAGGCGTTTGTGGTACGGCAGTCAACTGGATATTTTGTATTCTGACGGCTGCACCAGTTACCCAAATTGAGTGCAGAACCAAATTTAACATCATGGATTCCTCGCGCAGTCATTGCTGACTGGGCCGAGACCATCAGTGTGCAACACTCAAGAGGCAAGCGTAATCACGGGCAGCTGAAGCCTGGAAAAAAAACCCCAGGGTCTCACCGGTGCCGGCTTAAAGCACTGTGACCCCTGATCCATCCGGACCACCTCCAGAGATTATAACCTTCCCTGAAGCTGTGGCGTTGAATTATAGGAGTAATTGGAATTAGAGTTGGCTTGCGGCTTGTGGAAGTTCCTGCCACTGTTCAGGATAAGCGTTTACTCTTATTAACGTTACCCCGAAGGCAGTGGGCTCTGAGATGGTGTGACTGCTTGGAGGGGGGAGGGGAGACCCCCATCCAGCAGTGGATAGACCATGGTTTATTATGATGCTATCGTCCCCCACCCCCTGCAGGGACGCCGCGTCTCAAGCAGCTGCTGCTGTGCGAGGTGGACATCGTCTTCGAGTGCCAGCTGTGCCGCAGCCTCTTCCGGGGCCTTCCCAACCTCATCGTGCACCGGCAGAACTACTGCCACCCCTACGCGTGCACAGGTAGCGACGCGCGCAGGCCCCCCCGGCTCTTGCCGCCACGGATTCCCCCCAACGCCGGATTCCAGACCCCCCCCCCCCCCCTCCACGCTGGCCAGCATCGTTTGATTAAACGACGCGTGCCAATGAGTGGCCCGTCGAGCAAAAGTTTCCCCCAGGTTTTTGTGGTGAAGTAGGCTATAAAATTACTGCCATTTCAGGGCGGTAACAGCAATGTTTGGGCAGCTTCCACCTCCAACGCAGCTTATATATAAGCTCCTAGCTTGGTAGTGTCTCATTCTTCACCTGAAGACGGCTGCTTGCGTTGTAGCCGAAACGTCGTGAGAATTATTTTATTTTATTATGTTTTATTTTTATTATTTTATTACTTCCCTTCTACGTGACTTTACCGAAAGAACCAAGAAGATGAATCCCTGCAGTCACGAAAGCTTTAAATCGAAATTTAATGTTTGGGCAAATAAAAAACCATCGGTGATGCGCTGTTTTCGGCGAGGGGTTGGAGACACCAACCAAGGCGATGGGGTTCAGGGAAAATCTGGAACTGTAAGTGGAGTCTGCTGCTTTAACCAAACGCTGCTGGAAAATGTTGACTGAAGGCGATAAGTCCGATGGGTGAAAGTGTGATTTGATTTAACATTTTAATGGCTGTGTTTATTTATTCATGATATTTTTAATATTATATTCTGTCTCAAGTATTCCTTGACATTTTTGCAAACGAAAAACAGCACATTCGCAATTTGCTCCACACTCTTTTTTTCCTGCGTTCAATCCCCTCTTAGAAGACGACACCTTTTTTGAAGAGGACAACAACAACCACCACCACAACCACCACCGCAACCACCACCACCGGGACACCCTCCCCGAACCGGCACGGCCGCAGGAGAAGCGCGTCGACTTCGTCATCCAGCTGGACCCCATCGCCACCAACCGCAACGCCGTCTACCAGCACGTCATCACCTCGGACGACCCCAAGTGGGAGGCCCACGTCGCGGCCGAGCCCGGCCGCCAAGGCCCGTCGGGCACCACCCCCGTCGGCCCGACGGAGGCCAAGGAGGCCGGGCCCGAGTCGAAGACGTCGCCGGCAAAGGCGGAGACGACGGTGGGCCCGGCCGCGGACCAGACGGCGAGCGTCCTCTCGCCGATCTCGCTGGGCTACTCGTGCGCCGTGTGCGCCAAGAGCTTCCGGCTGCGGCGCAGCGTGCGGCGCCACATCCGCGTGGTGCACAAGAAGCTCGCCGAGGAGGTGAACCGCTACTTCCGCCTGGACGCCGCCGCGGCTGCGCTGGCGCAGGGGCAGGCGACCGTGCCGCACGACCGCAAGGCCTGCCCCGTGTGCCACAAGAGCTTCGCCAACAAGGCCAACGTGCGGCGGCACTTCCACGACACGCACCACGACGCCAAGTGGGATGTCGCGTGGAAGGAGTCGAGGTCGCCCGGCCGGGCGCAGCCGTCGTCGCGCTCCTCGCTCTCGCCGCCCTGGTCGCTGGCGCCCGTCAAGGTGACGGCGCCCGCCAAGCGGCACGGAGGCGCCGGCGCCGAGATCCTCGTGTGGATCTGCCCGATATGCAACCGCAAGCACGGCTCGCTGATCGCGATCAAGCGCCACCTGCAGCTCTTCCACAAGCAGAACAACTTCACGATGGAGGGCGACGAGGAGGCCGAGCCTCCTTCGGACGCCCCGACGGAAGGCGGCGGCGGCAGCATCTGCAGCGTCAGCGTCGGCAGCGTCGTCGGCGGCAGCGTCGGCAGCAGCGTCGGCGGCATCGGCGTCGACGGGGATCAGCCCGACGATTCCACAGTCGCGGACGTCCAGGAATCCAAGGGGAAGCCGCCGGAGCAGAAAGAGACTCCCACGAAAGCCGGCGCCAAGGACAGAGACCCGAAGGCGCAGCCGCCCCCCGACAAACTGACGCACAAAGACAACCTGTGCACGGTTTGTGGGCACGCATTCCCCAGCCGGGTCGAGTACAGGAAGCACATGTCCACGACGCACGCCGGCGACGTCAAGCTCGAGCAGAACGGCACCCAGCAGCCTGCGGAGCCGGAGACGCCCACCAAGGGGGGCGGCGACGCCGAACGGCAGCAGTCGCCCCGACGGACGCCGCCGCCGCCGCGGCCGGAGACCAAGGCCAAGGGGAAGCTGTTTGACCTGCGGCAGCTGTACTGCCGGCTGTGCAAGCGGCGCTTCTCGACGCGGCAGAACCTGCGCAAGCACATCGAGATGCACACGGACGGCGACCGCCTCTACGTCAAGTTCTTCCGCTGCCCGCTGTGCTCCTACGAGTCGCGGCGCAAGTCCGACATCCTGCGGCACCTCACGGTGGTGCACAAGCACACGAGCTGCTACCTGCGCCGCGTCGCCGGCAGTCTGGAGAGCCGCTCCATCAAGAAGCCAGTCGATGCCTTTCTCAACCGCAAAATCCGGCGCGGGCGGCTGCCGCACTGCGCCGGTCTCCGCGTGAAAGCGGAGCCGGGGGCCGTCGCCCGCACCGCGGACGGTGCCGGCTGCGGCGGCGAATCTTCTGCAGCGTCGCCGTTGGAAAACGCTGGCACGGCGGCGTCGGTGGCCACGCCGGTCAAAGCGAAGGGCCAGGCTGCGGCGCCGACGACGCCGCCGATGGCGGCAACGACGGCGCCAACGACGGCGCCGATGGCACCAAAGGCACCGACGGCACCAAAGGCACCGACGGCACCAAAGGCACCAAAGGCACTGACGGCGCCACTGGCGCCGGCGGCTCCGGCAACGCCAGCACCGCATCCAGCTAGCTCGGCTCTGCCGTACCAGTGCGACGAGTGCGGGAAGGCGTACACCAAGAAGTCCTTCCTGGATAACCACAAGCTGGTGCACGTGCGGAGGGGCAGGAAGGCCGGGCAGAAGGCGGCGGCGACGGCGACGGAGAGGAGCAAGCGAAGCTCCTTCCCGTGCCGCAACACGCGCTCGCGCTCGGTGAACCTCAGCGAACAGCGACGGCAGCAGCAGCAGCAGCCGCCCGCCAAGTGACGGGAGCGGCTGGCGCAAGAGGCCCCGTTGCGCTCCAACGCTCTCTCGCGGTTTTGCCGTCCGGAGGACGCCGCTTCGTTTACGTCGTCCGCTGGTGAACAAGCAGAGACGATAAGCTGAATGTAAAAAAAATTTCAAGTTTTTTTTTTACTACACATCCACATCAGCTACACCGGCCTTCTGGGAGTGCATGATTTTAGCAGGATTGTTTCAACACAAGCAAACTCGCTTTTGACATTCAAAGTCTCATCAGCAGTCGGGCTTGTTTGAACCGATTAATACGAAAGGGCATGAAATGATAGTAATGTGCATGTGTAGTGCGCTTGTTTAGATACTTCTGCAACTTCAAGCGCCTTCCATCCCATCTCATCCATTTTCATTTCCCCTGTGGCTGTACAGCACAAGGTAGGGAGGTGATGCTGCAATGTGGTTGTTTTTCCCCCAAATCGGTAATTTGCGAGTAATTTATAAAATTTGGCAACTTTTTCACCACAACGCCAACGCACATGGCCTATTCTTTTTCCGATAACATCAAAGGACCTTCAACGTGCACTGCGAAGCAGACCGTTGGCGTATTTATGGCCAATGCACCCCAACCGCATTTACCAGGGTGGTCGCCTGTTTGGAAACCGCGCGTGACGATGATTAGCAACTTGAATTCCAAGTTGCGTGAAAATAATTCGCCAACGTCAGTTGTGTCTTAACGGAAGCTAGCAAACTGCACGAACGAGACGGGGGGAGGGGAAAAAAACGACAGAAAACAAAATGGGACGAATCGCGACGATTCTTCAAATCTCTGCGACAAAGGGGAGTGGCTCGTTCGTCGCCAAATACAGACTGCAGCGTGTCTATCAACAGGCCAACGTAATATTCCTCGAGCAACACTCAAAGGGGGGGGGGGGGAGGGCGTTGGTGGGGGTGAGGGGAGGGGCAGTGGGGTGATGGCTTCTCCTTCTCTCCAGGAGATTACATTTCTCTCGAGCGGAACACGTCACCCCCCCACATTACCCCCCCACATCACCCCCCCCACGTCACCCCCCCACGTCACCCCCCCACGTCATTGAGCGGGCCACGTCAGCCCCCCCTACGTAATCGAGCGGGACGCGAATGACCGACCGACCGTGCGATCTCGGTGACGGTGAGACGTGACGATCGGGCTGCGTTCTGGATCGGCGGTGCGCGCGGTGTGACGTAGTGCGCACGCCAGCGTCGTGGCACGCACGATGGCACCGGCAAGAAGCTCGCTGTAAATTCACGCAAAAGGCCGACACGTGGTGGCAAAGTGGGGCAATCTAAGCGCCCGTGAAAAACTTGAGTGTGCGTCAGAGGCGTCGATTTTAACGTCGAGAAAAGAAGGCTTGTGGCAGGACAGGGCGCTGGGAGGGAGGGATAAGGGGTCCCGTGGTCGTGGCTAAAGGAGGAAAACACACCCTGTGTGCAGGAGCTAGTTGAGCGGTTTCATCGCAAGGTCGCGTGGGGGATGATGACGGCTTGGGGGGAGACCTTCACTCAGCAGTGGATAGATCATGGCTGAAGAAGTCAATGATGAAAATTAGCGAAGCTTCAAACTCGCATTGGGTAGCAAGGGACGCTCGCGGTGCATGCCAGGGGTTTGGTGATACACTTCGCCCGGCGGTTCCATCATCAGTCATTATCTCCAGTTGTGATTTGATTCAATAACACTGGTCAACACACTTTTTCTGGCATAAGGTATTCCAACGGTTTTAAGGACATTTTGGGGTAACGATTCCAAATCTGGCATCAGTCTTTGTCTATCGCATCAGGTTTTTGAGATATCAAATATTGCATTTTCAATAAAAACTGCGGAAGAAAAATATTTAATAAATGTGGATATCTACATAAAATGATATTATAAACACACTATCCTAAAAATACAGCACCATATTTTAGCACTAAAGCAGTCACTGACTCGCAACAACTTGCAATCATAAGTGACAGAGTTAATTTCGGGTAAAATCAATGAAAATGGGGTATGCAGATAGCATAAAATGAGATGTGATAGAGCAAATCTGAGATCAGATTTGGAATCAGCACCCTGAAATTAGTCTAAAACAGCTGCAAAAGTCCAGGCCAGAATTTTTTTTTTTTTGACCAGTGTATAATTGGTAATTACCCAATTGGGATTACACAGAGCTTATCATCGCCATCCCCCACTGCCCCCCCAACCACCTCACTACCGGCTGACTCGTGTCCGTTTGCAAGCCAGGTGCTGAGTCACTTTGTGCCGCACAGGGACAGCTGCCACTGGGGGTGCCCTTTCACGTGTTGAAATGAGACGTGGGATGTCAAGCGCCCTAGCGAGACGCCCCAGCGTATATGAGGGCGCTATATCAAAAACAAATCCTTGTCATCGTCCTTGTCTCTCCGATGTTCTGTCTCATTCCTTTTGTCCGTCTTGGTTGTGCCGTTAGACTTTGCGTATATAATCGTTATGCTTATTATTTGCATAAATTGTAAATTATCGATTTAGTATACACCTGTATAGGAATCGATTTTAATTGATGTATTATTACATGCCTACTGAGTACATAGCTACAAGATGAGATATGTTCGTCTCATTTGGTTAATTTTCCTTTAACTGTGATGTACGCGTACAGCCCCTTTGTCATTCCACTGCTGGCTGAGGGCCTCCTGGTGATGTAGCCCTCGACGAAACCGTGGATCGGAGAAAGATCTTCGATAAAGATGGAATATCTACTGCACTACTTAGTCCGTGGGCCAGAGAAAAAAACCTGGTACCACCTAAGGTAGCAACACTTCAGTCCTACCGATTTACTTACGTGGACAATGAGTGTGAATTACCCGATAAACCCCACCAATTTCCAACGGTTTATCACATAAATCGCTATAATTGGCCACATCAAATCATTAGAACCACTAAAGTTACGCCACCTGTGGTGGTACCAACGACGAGTGAAATATCTGGTCTGGGTTGCTCATGGACCAACCGAGCAAATCCAGCATCCTCACGCAGCTGCAGCCCTTACCGTCACGGGTTTCAGCTGTGAATGGCAAAGCAGCCTCCCAAACATGTGACGCGGCGATGTCAGTGTCCACGACTCGATGAAGATCCATCTCCCTATGCCTTGTGGGATTTGTAACATGGTTGTTATTATTCCGTTCAAAAGTGTTATTGTTGTGTTTTTCTTGAATCCTATCGCCGCGCGAGCGCACGGATTACGACATTCTGTAATCTGCCCTTGCGTCGAGGGGGCTGCCGGTCATCGGGAGTGAGATCAGACGGAGTGCGGGGCGGTAGCGGCGGGCGGCGCCGTGCCCAACGACGATCCGCGCCCGGGAAGGATGAGCGTGCGAGCCCCACACTTTAACTTTTTATTTTCATATTTAAAGCATAATTATCACAACGCAGTACGAACGTAAGCAAATATATTATCATAACAAAACTTCATGGTAGAGATTACAGCACATTACTAACTTGTTAATTTTGTTGCAATTTTCGGTGTGAAATTGTACAAGGTAGTTCAAGGGTTGTGTTGAACGTTTCCTCGACATAAATGACATTACAATCGGTGGTGTAGCGTGGTTGGCGTGGGCCCCAGTGCAAGGATTTGAATGCGAGGCCCCCCTGTTCATCTTACCCCCCCCCCCCGCCCGTCTTCGAAGCCTGACGCTTGGGCCCCATAGGCTCCATTGCAGTTGCACCGCCTGCACACTCGGTAGCTACGAAACCGAACACGGTAATAAAATGTGCGTTTCACAATTAATATTGTGAATGTGATCGCATCATAAGACACTGAACAGATTTGGCCAGCGTGCACACCAAGATGATTTGAATGTAGATTATTTTTGTCGCTTTTGTATGGGAAGGGTCTGAGCGGTGGAGGAGAGGCCCACAAGCCAGGGAAGGAACCGTGTGGTTCGAGATACAAAATGAAAGCAATTCAAAGAGAGAGAGATGCACAAAGACATCGGCAGAGGAGGGGGGGTCTTGAGCCTGCACTTGAACAGTGGACAGGGTCTTTGCAGCATCGCGAGGGGCCGGAGCAAAGGATGAAACTTTACCGCACAAACTTTGCTTTTCACCAGCATACTTGTACATTTATTTCTGAATAACAGCTTCAAGTGTAACTTGGGCATATATCCGCAATAAATACTGTACCCCGCAAACAGCGGTGCATAATGGGTTTAGGTGAATTATGATTTGTTGACACGGTCATTCGTGATAACTGTATCGCCGGGGTAAAAAAAAAAACATTGGAGACAACTTGAATTCATGAACGGTCTGTCTCCAATGTTCTTTCCATCATCGTCGTCGCAGCTGGCGGGCGGGGGTAATCAACCGACGTGTACATGCGTTTATTCAATTAAAGACTTAAAACGTGGGATTAATGGCATTACGTTTACGGTAAATCTGCCAGTTTTAGGAATCCTTATCTTGCGTTACACTTTAATCGCACATTATCTTCGAAAATCCAGCGTTCATCTGGGATCGGTTAACCAGATGGAAAAAAAAATGCGTTAAACTTTGTTACGGTATTCTGCAGACTATCAGATACACTTTGCTCCCCCCACCTTCCCTCCCCTCTCCTTGTATTGACACCGGGCCCAAGTTGTGGGGTGTGTCTTCTAAATCGGGTGAACACGGCGCACATAAGAGGTTTTTTTTGGGTTATATCGCGTAAATATATAAATGTGTCATTAACCCCACCACCACCCGACACACCCAACTAGTAAGGTTTGTCACGTAAACAGAACATGTCAATTCGTTACGAGTACAGCACTAACCGGTGTGTTGGAGAGCAAAGCCACAACATTTACGATCTTGAGTACGACGTTTCGCCAGTAATCACAACTAGCATCATCGGGCGGACCAATTTGTCATCATCAGGCAAACCGATTGCCTGGTCAGTAATTACTGGCGAAACATCGTACTCTGATTGTAAATGTTGTGGACAAACCTTACCAATTGGCTGTGTCGGGTGGTGGTGGGTTTAACGACACATTTATATATTTACGCGATCTAACCCCAAAAAAACCTCATGGTCGCGAAAGCCGCCAACGTTTTAAACGGCACGCACCACAATCCGTCGCGGCGACTTGGGCCAACACCGGCTGTTGCGCAACAACAAGCGGAACCTTTCGACCCGTAGCCAGGAGATCATCGGGGTCGTCTCCTGGTCCCGAGAACGTCTTCGCCGTTTGTCTTCACGCGTCGGCGTGTGAACGCATTTTCCTTGTCGGGGCGAAACGCCGCCGTGTGCCCCCAGCTCGGGTGAAGCGAGAGTTCGTGTTCCCCAGCCGCCACGTTCACCTGTGTTCATTTGTTAGACGGCATGGTGCGTTCGGTATGATGATGATGATGATACGAAAAAATATAAGTTCGGTTTTATCAAGAGGTGCCTGATCGCTGCCAGGTGGCTCCGTGGTGGAGAGAGCGGCTAGCAAACCGGAAGGTTTTGGAGTTCAAATGTTGGTTGGGGGTGGGGTTGACTCTGCCCATCATCTCTCCAGGGCCGATAAATTTAGTACCAATTTGTTGAGGAAGCCAACAGTTGGTTGTCCTGTGGATAGACTTTCCCCCCCCCCCCTCCACCTGTTATAGAAATGTGGAATTTCCACTGCTGGCTCAGGGCTGTAAACAGGAGATGAGCACGAATGCCTCGGTGCTCAATTGAGCAGAACATCACTTTGACTTTCATCTCAAAACATTAACAAATGCCATTTCTACAACGCATTTTAGCTCGACACATGGTGCTTAATTGGCGCATTGCCTGCCGCTAACGTGTTATGACCCCACCAACTGCGATCGTGAGTTAGGTGTTAACGCATATGTCGACTGCGTAAATTAAATCCACATATACTTCGTGGCCAATTGCCACGTTGACAACTACTGTAATGCATAAATTCAAAATTGTAATGATTTAACGGCCCTCTTTCAACCCACTGCTGTATCAATGTTCCCCATGCTGCACCAGTTACTTGGGTTGTTTGACCATACTTCACCATGCTGGTCATTGCAGGTTTCTTAAAAAGTTGGGGGGGGGGGGAGGGAACCCCATGACCACTTTAGATATATGCACCGCCATGCAAAGTTTTCACATACGTTCACAACAAATGCGTTCTTATCGCAGACATAATACAACCAGGGCCGGATTAAGATTGTGTAGGCCCCTGGGCTTGCAGGTACTGTGAGGCCGCCCCCCAGTAATATTTCCAAAAGGAAAACAAAGTTGAAGAAAAATAAAGTGTATTTTTTTACAAGGCTAACAACCAATAAAATTCAGCATTCACAAGTGAAATTACTTTTCACTTCATCTCTGGTGGCCCCTCCAGCTGGTGGAGGCTCCTGGGATTGCAGCCCCTAAAGCCCCCTCCCCCCACGCCTCTTAATCCGGCCCTGAATACAACCCGACGTTTTGGCCAGGGTATGAACGTCGCGGTTCATCGGCAGCAATCGATTGACTTCAGTGCGGAGTTCGTGGAGCATGACCACTTGGCAAAGCATAAAAAAACGCAGTTGTTGGGGTGGCTTTTACTCATGCGTGGAGTTTGTGTTTTTTTCTTCTTCCGCTCGGGTTTCCGCCGCGGTCGTCGTGCGGGTGGTAAATTGGCGATTTTTTTTCTGTCTCGACGTTTCGGTTTTCCTCCTAAAATAGCCACGGTGGCGGTGGAAAAAAAAACGTGGCCCCAGAAACGTCGGACGTCACGCGGAAGATGATCGGGCACGCGGGCGGCTGCCTTGAGAAGCGGTGAGCGCCGCACGACTTTCCGGTGAAGCAAAAAAACTAAGTTTTTATCGTAGGGTTTTGTAAACGTTGAAAAGTTGGATGAACTGCCTAACGACCTAACACGCCTTGGATATATACAGAGTACGACACGTAGCCGTTCAATGAATGTCGAAAAAAAAAACATTTAAAGAAAACTTTTTTTTTTTAAAAAGCAAGTTTGAGTAGAATATGTAGCCAAGAAAAAAAAGTTCGCTTCCATCACGCGTGAGCTTCGTCTGAACCAAGCCACGGGGCTGTTGTTTGTTTTTGTTGTCTGTTTATTTTCTTCCCTTCGCCCACCCACCCCTCTCTCATTGGGCAGTTTGGCTCCTGCGAGCTGCTGCAAATGACCAAAGAATGCTAATGAAGAAATATAAAAGAGGGATATATTTTATCGTGTGAGGTCGCGTCAAGTGCCGGACAGGAATGCCCGCGTTTGCGCGTGTACAGACGAGAGACGGGAGTAGAAGAAGGAGGAGGAGGAAGTGTTAAAAATGAAGCTCTTAAGTTTCTTGCTGCTCACAAAGTTGTTCTTGGTTACCGTGGAGCGCGCGCGCGCACGCTGTGAAAATAAAAGTTTGTTCGGCAGCTGCTGCTCTCTTGACCCCCCCCCCTCTCGGTGCTTTGGAATGATGTCGTCGGCACCGCGCCCGTAGCGAGAGGACGACACCGAGGCACAAGCAGCTGGGAGGAAACCACGGAGAGTTTTCAGTTTCATTTATTAGGTATAGCCCTGTGAGCCATTCGGCTCTTGAATCGGGTGCAACCGCAACAAACAAGACCAAAACATGAACAAGAAAACATCTGAAAGTGAATATGTGACTATGTGCAAACAGAAAATCCAGGAAAAACGGCTAAATATTCCAGAAAAAGCACCGTACACCAACGCTGTGCGCAAAAATCCCAGTGGGATGAGGTGGGGAAGAGGTCGCCACGCGGTGAGCCAGACCCAGCGGCCCAATGATCCCAGGAGCACAAGTAGCCATGTGCTGCTGGGCCCCGCGCTTTCAAGGGCCCCGCGCTAAATGCTTTCAAGCCATCAATTCCGAACTCTTTGATTCTTTCGGTAAAGTCACGTAGGTATACAAATAAATAATAAATCACGATGTTTCGATCGCAACACAAGCAATCGTCATCAGGTAGAGAGATAGAGCAGTCGAACTGCTGAACAAGAAAGGGCTGTTGCAGTGATTCTGCACTTGCTCTATTACTATAGTACTATACCGCCTTCTATTTTTATGAACGACTGGGTGTTTAAGGTTAGCGATTTGTCGTATTATCTGGCTGTATAGCAAATGAAAAATACCACTACTATGCAAGTTAAACTATGTTTTAATGTGTTTTTTATTTAGGGCCTCTTTATTACATATGCTACAGGCCCCGCACTATCTTCATCCGGCGCTGAAGCCGCCACCAATATTTGCCCAAGCTTTGTGCAGTTCCTCTCTGCGTGAAGGTGTTATCGGCCCATTGAACCTTATGGCGGTACCCCGTGGTATACCATAGCACCCGGGCTCTCGCACAATGTCCGTGATGCAGTCATTTTTAGTCTGTTGATGGTCGGCGATGCGGCAATCGACTCATCTCGACGAGCTGTACACGATGCACCACTACGGTGCGTTCAGGGTTTCGGCGCAATCGTCCTCGCTGCGTTTCGACATCGCGGAGTGGCACTGATTTCGGATTGATTGCTACCCCAGTCGCGGAGTGAAGTACACCCCTGGAAAAAAATAGTGTCCCAGAAATAAAATATTTAATTGCCTCGGCATATTTTGTATTATTTGGTACCCCTGGGTACCTCCATAAGGATCAATTAACGAGTGTTCACACGCGGGTGGGAAACCCGGAGCGCCCGAAGGTGACCCCAAGGTTGCCAGGGAGAAACACTCAAAACTCCACTCAAGACGGAACGGGTGGAGTGAACATTTTTTTGCTGGACTGCCGTCTTCTGGCGAGCCAGGGTATGTGCACCTCGACGCCCCACGGGGAGGGAGTTTCACAACATTTGTGCAGTGATCCCCCAGCCCTCGGTAACTCCACAGTGTTGATCTACAGGCCACGTGCATAGCCACCGCCGCCGCCGAGCTGAATGGCTTCTATTATTTAGAGTATTTCGAGGCTATAACATTTCCACAAAAGCCACTTTGCTGAGCTATCATTTGTGGCCAGGTCGCTTCTGAAAAAATAATACAATAGCTCCGTGGGCTTTACCTGGTAAAATAAACAGATCTATAGTGTCTTCTTGGTTCTTTCGGTAAAGTCACGTAGAACGGAAATAATAAAATAATAAAAATAAAACAATTAAATACATCTCACGACGTTTCGGCCACAACGCAAGCAGCCGTCCTCAGGTGGAGAGCAGGTCTGTCGAGGAGACAGAGTCTGAATGACACACTCCAGGCTTGGAGCGACTATTTTTGAATTATTTTATTATGTTTTAGTTTTATTATTTTATTATTTCCCTTCTACGTGACTTTACCGAAAGAACCAAGAAGATGAATCCCTGCAGTCACGAAAGCTTTAAATCGAAATTTAGATCTATAGTGATTTTGCTTACCGTTTCTCCACTTTGGACTCCTATCGTGTTTTCGTATCGTAACGGTCTGTCCCCGTGCCCCGACTGGACACGTGTGAAAAAGAGCTTCATTGCTCATCGGATTCCTCCGGCAGTCTAAATGAAGATTCTTATTGACGTTAGGCGAAGGTAAATGTGCAGCTGTTGGCAGGAGGGCGGCCACTCGAGAGGCCTCGAAGATTGCATCTTGGCCTACTCTTCCACACGAGACAGACTCGTTGACGTTCGCCCAGAATTACACCCGATATTGTCAGACCCTCAGAAGCTCATCAGGTTGTTGAGCCTGGATAGTGCTTGCATGGAGTGTAATGTGCGCTGATGCCTACTTTATTGAGGGCGATATTAGCACGGAAAATAAAGATAGATTGCTGGGTGACAACCACGCACAAAAAACAGGTGTTGTGGGCAGTAGAGGGCAGTGCAGTAAATGTGATTGTTGTAATACTTCCCGTATTCACACCAACCTGTACAGACCAGTGTGGTGAAGTATGGTCCAATAACCCTCATGAATATATCCACACACACAAGTAGTTTTGTAATATCCGTGGAAGCAAAAATCTTCAGAGCGACCCCCCCCCACCCAAGATTCCTTCAAGTCACATTTCTTATCCACAACAGGGTGGTACCGGCCCTCGGCCTCTTTATGCTACTTGCCGCATGGCAGCCAAAATGATAATGTTGTTGTTTCGAGAGCTGGAAATCAAGACAAATGAATTTCAGAACCAGGTTGAAGGTGATCGCTTTTTTATTACACGCTTTGAATTAACTCACTCTGTCGTCGTATCCTCAAATCTTGTAACTCAATTTTAACCCACTTCCCAATGTGGTATCGACTGCAAACTTGGTATACTTATGTCATACTGATGACAATACTATATTTTATCATTCAAAATAGAATAAAATATTTGTAAACATTCTTTTTTATATGTTATGTTTCGGCTTGGGTCTATTTGTCCACGCTCAACTGACGTTGGCTGTAAATCACCACCGTACGTTACGGCAAGCTTCGGGGCCACTTCCATTACTCGTACGGTACATTTCATTAAAGCGTGTTTTTTTAAAAAGTAAAACATATATATTACTTATTCTTTGTGCATTCATTGGAGGCCAGGCCGAGAACGTAACCAGCAGTGGGCTCGGACTGGAACTCAGGCTCTCAACGTTACAGGACTCTTTGCTTCAACCTCTGAGAGCCACCCGGTCACACGCCCTGCAGGAATTCACGAACGACGTCTCTGGAATTAACTCAATTAAAATTGTCGCGGCTGAGCGGTAATCAACCTCAATGCATACACGCGCTTATCCCCGATTAAAGAAAATAAAAACAAAGTTTCCTACGCCTGGGAAAGTAACGAATATATTTCACAGCAATAATATTTCTTGAGGAGTCCCAAGAATCTCAACGGGCTCGCAACAGAATTCATAAAAGCACGATGATATATCTGACACTTTGTCTTGAGGCTGCATTTTAAACTATGAACGGTCTCTCTCCGGGGTCTGCTGCATGCGTTGGAATCGATGGTATTGTACCCGCAGGAAAGGGAGCGCTGTTGCTCAAAAGTGTGGCTAAATGATTAACTGCTCAGAAACAAAAAGTGTGGCGTGAATTGCATGCAAGTTGAGATCTCAGAACCCCGCCTGCTTGCCCCTCGCCACATATATAACCTTGTTAAAACAGCTCTCTCGCTGGTTCAGCAGTTCCACTGCTGGATTATATTTTTTCCGCCTGAGGACGACTGCTTGTGTTGCGATCGAAACGTCGTGATTTATTTTATTTTATACCCACGTGACTTTACCGAAAGAACCAAAGAGTATGGATTCCTGCAGTCACGAAAGCTTCAAATCAAGATTGAGGCCTGAAGTTTCACAATGCCCTTTTGTCGTCCCGATACCACACAATGATCAAGCGTGCTGTGACGGTTCCTGCTGAAGACGGAAGCTTGTGTTGCCTCCGAAACGTCGTGATTTTTATTTTATTTTTTATTTTACTTTTAGTAATTTTGAATTTTTTACCTACGTGACTTTACCGAAAAAAACTAAGAATATGAATACTTGCAGTCACGAAAGCTTCAAATCAAGATTGAGATCTCAAGTTTCACAATGCCTTTTTGTCGTCCCGATACCACTTAATGATCATGAATTCGCCACGACCTATCCACTGCTGGATGAAGGACGTCCACCATGCCGACGTAAACGCTCGGCCCATGTAAAACAAAATTCAACGTGGATTTTACGCAGCTTACGACTCATTGCGAGTGCATCGGATCACGACCGCTCTGGAGCGGCGTTCTTCATTGCAAGGCCCCGCGGGGCCCTGGTGGCCCCTGGGTGGCCTTGAGTGCGGCCCCCACGTGACTACACATCCCATCATTTTAACACAAAGTAGGCTGATAATTGTATTTTTACCCTTTTATCTGGCAACAAAACTGACACCTTTTTTACGAGGAGTCATGTTTGCATAGACCACAATACCTGCAGTCATAATGCAAACAAAAAACATAATTCTGATAATGTATGCACTGTCCTTGAAGTTGATTGGTCCACACCCGAGACAGCTTTCCTTAGAGCCTAGTCTCACATGAGTTGGACCAGATAACGCCAAAAGGCGCACTAGACTAGGCTCTAAGGAAAGCTGTCTCGGGTGTGGACCAATCAACTTCAAGGACAGTGCACATTATCAGAGTTATGTTTTTTGTTGGCATTATGACTGTAGGTATTGTGGTCTATGCAAACATGACTCTTCGTAAAAAAGGTGTCAGTTTTGTTGCCAGATAAAAGGGTAAACAAACAATTATCATATTTTTTACTGGCAAATGAGGTACCAATGACGCAGTAGGCTTTCGCGAACAATATTGTCCATAAGAGTTAGTTTTTGGATTTGGTTTGGGTGAGATCGCATAACTATAAATGTGTCCATTGGTACCTCATTTGCCAGTAAAAAAATATGATAATTGTTTTTTTTACCATTTAATCTAGCAACATTATGACTGCAGGTATTGTGGTCTATGCAAACATGACTCCTCGTAAAAAAGGTGTCAGTTTTGTTGCCAGATTAAAGGGTAAAAAAACAATTCTCATATAAATGTGCCGTTAAACCCGCCACCACCCGACACAGCCAATTAGTAAGGTTTGTCACGTAAACAGAACGTGCTGTCAAACCCCGATGGTTTAGAATGCGTGGTGGCCCTCACACCGATGATGATGCCCTATCGGCGACAGTGACCCCACCTCTGACACAATTAGCGAAGAGCCACTGCTTTAGAGAGAGAAACAACATTGCGTTCGCATGTTCTACGGAGGCGAGGCAAGTAACACATCGTGACACGTAGCAGCGACTGCAAGGAAACGCACAACACTGCTGGCTGGACAGAGGCTTAGAAAACTTGTCCACTGTTTAAGATGCCGAGCCGGCAGATCGAACAAGCAACCACGAGATTGCAACCTCAGTGTGTTTAAGCATCCATTGCACCACGGCAGCGTCATGGGGTTTAAATTAAACCCCACACCCAGTGCAGACGAGTGCAGACTTTGACGCCTCCACCAACTCCTGTTCCTATCCAATGTCTTTGCACCAGAGGCTCTGGGCTGGCTCACTCGCCGCATATGGGAAACACGTAACGCGAAAACATTCCGTGGCAAGGCAACCCTCCCACCCCCATCCTTGTCCTTCTCTCCCTCCCCATTCCATCATCTCTCCTCTCACTCGTGGCCGTCTCCCTCCCATGGTGCCTCTCTCCACGCCGACGCGATTGGGGGTTGTCAACAATCCAGCCGCGAAATTTGTAGCCATCCTCCGCCTATCCGCTAGGCAGCGGCGCTCCCGTCGCATCTTCTGCCCTGCCTCCTCCTCCACTCTGCCTCTCTCTCTCTCACAGGCAGAAGAAGCACCGAGGCTTTCGACAGATTCAGCAGCCAGCCTCCGCGTCTGCTAAGCTGCTGTGTTCCACTTCGCGGACATTCCCTCCCTCTCTCCCTCCAGCCCCGACAAAAAAAAAGTTGGAATTTAAGTTTTGGAATTTTTAGCCGTGGCGAGTTGGTTTTTGTCCGCGCGTGAAAGTCAGAGCGGAGTAGCAAGCAAGCGCGTAGCAACATCAACAACCACCACCAACAACCACAACAACAACAACAAAGCCTAGCAAGGTTGAAGCGCATCTCCAGCGGACTTGCAGGAGATTGTCACGGACAAAGATGTCCAATTCCAAGGGCAAGGAGCGAGGAGTCGGGGGGACTCAGCCCAGCACCCCCTCGGCTCCGGGCGGGGGCCTTGACCACAACAAGGGACCCCACCAGCAACAAGGTCATACTTCACCCATCGGTGCACAGAGCTCCGGGGCACGCGTACAGGTGCAGGAGCAGCAGGAGGAAGAGGAGAAGCTGTACAAGTGCTGCGGCTGCCGCTTCCCGCTGTTCGCCGCGATCCTGCAGCTGCTGTTCGGAGTGTCCATCGCCGTGGTGGCCTTCGTGATGCTCGGTGTGGCTCCTCTGGCGATCAGGGATACTCCGCACTGGGCCGGCATCCCCGTAATAGCGCAGCGCACTCGCACACGCACTCACTCACTCATACACTAACTTACTCTCTAATATACTCACTCACTCACACTCACTCACTCTCTCACACACTCTCTAATACACTGACTCACTCACTCTCTAATATACTCACTCTCTAATACACGCACTCACTCACTCTCTAATACACTCACTCACTCTCTAATACACGCACTCACTTACTCTATAATACACTCACTCACACACTCACTCATACACCAACTTACTCTCTAATACACTCACTCACTCATACACTAACTTACTCTCTAATACACTCACTCACACACTCACTCACTCACTAATACACTCACACACTCACTCACGCACTCACTCTCTCACCCACTCACTCTCTCACCCACTCACGCACTCACTCACTATCTAACTTACGCACTCACTCTCTAATACACTCACTCACTCACGCACTCACTCTCTAATACACTCACTCACTCATACACTAGCTTACTCTCTAATACACTCACTCACACACTCACGCATTCTCTCACACACTCTCTAATACACTCACTCACTCTCTAATACACTCACTCACTCATACACTAACTTACTCTCTAATACACTCACTCACATACTCACGCATTCTCTCACACACTCTCTAATACACTAACTTACTCTCTAATACACTCACTCACTCATACACTAACTTACTCTCTAATACACTCACTCACACACGCACGCACTCACTCTAATACACTCACTCACACACTCACGCATTCTCTCATACACTCTCTAATACACTCACTCACTCTCTAATACACTCACTCATACACTAACTTACTCTCTAATACACTCACTCACACACTCACGCATTCTCTCACACACTCTCTAATACACTCACTCACTCTCTAATACACTCACTCACTCTCTAATACACGCACTCACTCTCTAATACATTCACTCACTCATACACTAACTTACTCTCTAATACACTCACTCACGCACGCACTCACTCTCTAATACACTCACTCACACACTCACGCATTCTCTCACACACTCTCTAATACACTCACTCACTCTCTAATATACTCACTCTCTAATACACGCACTCACTCACTCTCTAATACACTCACTCTCTCACCCACTCACGCACTCACTCTCTAACTTACGCACTCACTCACTCTCTAATACACTCACTCTCTCACACACTCACACACTCACTCTCTCACCCACTCACCCACCCTCTCACCCACTCACCCACTCTCTAATACACTCGCTCTCTCACCCACTCACTCTCTCACCCACTCACCCACCCTCTCACCCACTCACGCACTCGCTCTCTCACCCACCCACTCTCTCACCCACCCACCCACTCTCTCACCCACTCACTCTCTCACTCTCTCACGCTGTGTGTGTTCGGGCGCAGTGCGGGTCTCAATAGGGACTATCTAACTTTACTTGCTGCAACCTTCTATACAGTACGGCATGTCTATACGGGGATCGTTGTCTTTGTGTGCGTGTCTGTGTGTGTGAGACAAAGTGTGTGTGTGTCTGTGTGTGTGAGACAAAGTGTGTCTCGGTGTGGGAGCACCCCCTCGTGTACCGTGCCGGCCTTCATAGGTGCTCGCTAACAGCACGTGCCCCCACAGTATGTTAAGGCTACACGGGGGATCTGTGTCTTTAATTGTTTGCTGTTGTTCTACGCATGTATGTTGAACTTCTTTTGCACCGTGCGTCGCCAACCGTGCTAATCGTGTGTCGAGCAACAGCTCCAAGTTTACATCGAGAAGCTTGAGGCAGAGCATTGCATCACGAGTAACGGAGTCGTGCAATCGCTGTGATGATGCCTCCTTTGTATTTATGAATCGGGCGTTGAGTCGTGAAATGTTTCATGGCTTATTCTGGGTGACCGAAACCGCTCAGTTGGAGAGTTTTTTTAAATTTAATTTCCCATTTGTGCCACGGTCTGTGCAGGGATGCGGTTTAGGGGGCTCTGCCCCCCACCCCCTGTTTGCTTTACGGAAGATCGAAACCAAGGGAGGGATAATCTTCACCGGCTCTTCATTCTCTTGACACGGCGTGCATGATCTCGCTCGTTCTTTACGTGCAGACTCACGGCACGACCCGCTTCTATTTTGACCACGAGCAGGGCTGGCCATTACTCCTGACACTTCGCAGCACGTGGCGTCAGTGCAATCAATCCTGGTGGTTTAATAATGGACTGAGCCGGGCACGCAGCTATCTGAATATACTTTTGCCCGTGGGCTGATTTGGAGAAGTGTATAAACGCCTGATGTTTGCGTCTCACAGTTCTCATGAGCAGCGCGGCTGCTTGGGAGTTTAACAATAACGAGTATGATATTTGAGCGTAGATTTACGCGACAAATTCGTTCTGGGGGAGGGGATGGGGTAGAATTTTTAACTGGTAAAAGAATCATGAGAATGCTGCGAAAAAATGGTGGTTTCGTGGAATAGAGCCACAGTTCAGATAATTCCATACGTGACGCTGCCCCTTATTTATCCCCAAATGCCTCACGGAGTCTCAAGACTCCTGTTCAGAAGGGTGCTGCCGCATTGGTGAAGCTTGGTCATTGCCATCGGAGAGTTTTTTTCGGCTTCAAGTGTTGGGGGAGGAAACCGCAGCACACAGAGAGAACACGCACGCGGATATGAAGGGATATCGAACACTCAGCACTCCGCACATACGTATTGTACGCTTAACTTCTTTCGCGCCGTACGTAGCCAACGGTGCAGATGGATTCAATTCAAACACCCAATGCACACAATCACCTGCAGGCGGAAACCGTTGTTCGACTTTGAGCGCACTACACGTGGATTTAAGGATCCGTTATTGTGCCGCCATCGAACCGCCAGCATGCAGCCCCCAGGCACAGCACATCACGTGGTGTGCACACTGGCGGTCAGCCATCCAACCCCTTCGAGACCAGATGAGATCAGGCGGATTCAGGTTGATTTTTTTTGTTATCATAGAGAATTTTGACGTTTAAAGTTATTGTTTCAAATGTGTTTGTGTGTGTTGCTAATGGGTTGGCCAGGGATATTTTTTAAAAATGTAATCCAGTTGAGTGTTGAACCTTTTGTGTTGGCAGGCAACTTCATATTCACAAGGGGTGATGATGTATTATTAAAAGCCTTGGCAACAAATTATTAATAGGTTCAAATGAGTTAGAGCTATGTTTGAACACTCGCTCCTCTGTGCATTAATCACAATAGCAGTCTGGAGTTGTTAAACTAAACAATTAAACTATGAGCGTTACAATATTCATTTTCTTCACAATACTGTACCCATGCCATGCATACATATGTTAATTTATAAACAATGTTTTACAATTAAACTCGTTATTGACTCGCAGACTTCATTTTAAAGCATCTCCAAAACCGTCTTATTACAAACACGATTTATAGCGTGCAGCTGCATAATCGTATTATTAAATCCATTAAAATACACATTTTAAATTACATCATCAATTTATTCATTCACAAAACTCATCTCTACTCACCATATGAACATGGGCGCAGACCAAAAATTATACTTGTTGGTGAAAACTTGAAATGGCAAAACTCCATTTGTACCAACAACTTTAAGTTGGTAAAAACATCCAATTATTATGTATTTGTCCATCTTAAGACGACACCTCGAGTCATTTTAAATTCTATTGACCGTTGCCCAGTATAGGTGGGCAGTAGGTGATGGTGTGGCAATGGCTCCTTAAATACATATGCACAGAGCCTTTTACAGATGAACAGTGTATTAAATTAACGTTACCTTTCAGTAGATATTTGGCAGACAACCCCTTACGTAATCAAATACTGTATGCATTGCAACATAAACTAATATGTATTCAAGGTTTGATAATGTCTTCACTTGAGACGTTCCTATATGCTGCCTCTGATCACCAAGCACTCGGTTAAAACGCCGGCAGCACGCGTCAAGACTCGCCGTACACGTGCCCGGACCAGACACTTCGCCTGCTGTCAGTACCCGCACTTCTGATGAGCACGGTTGGCTACACACGGTGCCAAAGAATCTTCTTGGTTCTTTCGGTAAAGTCACGTAGAAGGGAAATAATATAATAAAATAAAATTCTCACGACGTTTCGGCCACAACGCAAGCAGCCGTCCTCAGGTGAAGAACAGCGCTGTCGGAAAGACAGCGTCCGAATGAACACCACCAAGCTTGGCAGCGTATATTTAAACTGGGTTAGAGGAGCGCCTTGACAAAGGAATTTACATATCAGAGGAATTTAGCATATTTATGGAAAATGCAGGTGCGAGAGAAGTTCAACGTACAGTAACATATGCCATTGCTTTAATGTGGTTACAATTTCTTTATGTGGGCCAATGAGAGTGACTGATGGCTTATCGAACAATTCACTCTTATTATGAGTCATTGGGACGGAGCAGAATTTTTTTTAGCATCGTTAAGGAGAACTGGGTGGGGAAAGGGGCAAAGAACGAACCATTTCCCCGAACCGTCGAAGGTGGCTATTTTATCACCAGGTGTTGCATTAATGGGAGGAAGCATTTACATTTAATCTGGTTTCCCATCTCAGTTTGGACGAGACTCAACTGTGATTAGAGACAACTGTGTGTGCGGTCACGTGTCAATGAGTCCGGTGGACCAATTTGCAGGAGACATTTATACCACATCTGGCAGCCAAAACGAGACCGCGCGGTAATTCATTGTAATTGCATTCAAATTGGGTTCCCTCCATTTGTTAGCCTGCTAAACTTAATTACAATTGAAGCGCTTTACAATTAAACTGCTAAAACAGCGCTCTAGCCGCACTCTGCCCCATCCCAGAACATTAAGGCCGTATGGATGTCCCATATTTTAAAATCTGCATCACCTGGCCTCTGTATACATTGCACATGCCATAATAACTTCAGAGCAGGTGATGTGCGTTTAAGTTGGGAGATATAAATAATAAACGATGCAATGTATTCTAGATTTGACCTTTTCGTGACTGCAAGGATTCATACTCTTTGTTTCTTTCGGAAAAGTCACGTAGGTAAGCGGTTGTGCTTTCGCTAAGTTGTCCCCACCTGAGGAAGGACGCTTGTGTTGCGCCCGAAACGTCGTGATTTAATTTATTTTAATTTTTTACCTACGTGACTTTACCGATAAAAACAAAGAGGATGCAATTTATGACACGCACAACAATTCACGGACAAATGACCCGAGGTGTGGAGTCAAGCTCGGTGTTACTTGAGAGCCAGGCGATAAGAGTCTCGTCGCCTTCGAGTGCCTCCTAGAACTCGGCGGAGATCGAACGCTGCTAACGTTTAGCGGGACGATGGTGCTCCAGATGGCGGGGTTTGTCGCGGATGAACGACGGACGCTCGGCACATCCCAGATGGGGCACGTGGCGTTCTTACCGAACGGGCTGTGCTCAACCCAGAGGTCGCAAACGGGTTTTAATTCCTTACCCGTACCCGGCCGCACCAGGGTCGCAAATGGGTACCCATACCCGGCCGGGTACGGGTACCCGTTCCCTACCCGTACCCGTACCCTACCCGAAATGAGTGACAAACGGTTACTCACCAGTGACTCACGGCCTACCCGTACCCGTACCCGGCCGCACCAGGGTCGCAAACGGCTACCCGTACCCGTACCCGGCTGGGTACGGGTAGCTGGGTATTGGGTAGGGTACGGGTATCAGGTACTCGGTTGCGACCTCTGGCTCAACCCCCCCCCCCTATCCTCTCTCTATCTGTGCAGGTCTGCATCGTCGCCATCATTGGACTGGTCGTGCTGTGCGTGAACTACAAGGCGGAGGAGGACACTTCGCTACAATTCTGCACAAAAGTACGTGCGCTGTCGAGTGCGCAGGTGGTGTAACTACACCAGGAGCCACGGGGCCAGACAGGCCCCGGGTGTTGGGCTGTGATTAGGGGGGTTACATTAGACATGCCCCCACCCCAATGTAATTTGTAGCGCCAGGGTCCCCAAACGAATCACGCTATGCCACTAAACCGTAGTCCAATATTCATTATTTAAATACGAATGAGGTTGTTACATGCTGCACGCGTCTGATGATTGGTTAACACGTATTCTTGGTTCTTTCGATAAAGTCACATCGATATAAAAAAAAAAATCTAAGCAAAAAACCACGACGTTTCGATCGCAACACAAACGGTCTTCATCAGGCAGAACACGTCGGACGTGACACAGAGAGCGTTGATTCAATTTAACGTCATCTATCAAAAATGTAATCAATGCTTTATGCGGAACGTGGAACAGACATACACACATACAAAGGATAAGTCTGTCTTAATTTGAATCAACAATATGTCACATGGGACGCATGAATGCACTTATTTTAAATGTTCCGTGTGTGTATATTTACGTGTGAGCGTGTATGTTTTACATCGAATGTAGATTTATTTATTTATAATTAAAAGAGAAATTTCACTAACATGCCTCTATTTCTCTAGGCTATGTATATGTTCACTAATCCATATGTTCCTTCTGTCTCGGTGCAATTTCAATCGTGCACTTCTCCACATTTCTTTGTACACTTTTAACATGTGTTCCACTTGTTTCGTCAAAGTCTTATCCATGTCATAGCAGGTAATACGCACTGATTGAAAACTGTCTTCCTTATGCACAATCATGTGCGTTGCCGCTGCTGGACCTGGCATTTACCCTGGGCACTCGCGACGCGTGACAGCTGTTTGGATCGCTCCGCCGTTTTGTGCGTTCTTCATCCTCCTCCCTTCCTCCCCTACCTCTCTCTCAACCGCCGTGGCCAGATCACGTACTTCCTGCTGTGCGTGCTGGGCATGGCGCTGAGCCTGCTGGCCGTGTCCTTCTGCGGGCACCACTACACGCAGCTCACACGCTATAGCTGCCAGCTCAACGCGCGCAACGGCACGTGCGAGTGCCGCGTCGACCCCAGGGACCCAATCGCGCGGGTCGTGCGCTACGCGGGCGTCAGCGACTGCTCCGACGTGACGGGCAGCCTCAAGGCGTTCCTGCTCCTGCAGGTCGCCCTCAACCTCCTGCTCGCCATTGTGTGCCTGCTCACATGCTACATCATGTGGAAGCACCGCTACGAGGTCTTCTACTCGGGGCTTCGTCTCTTCGCCGTGACCAGCGTCGGAGCGGCGGAGGCGAGCAAGCAGAAGGTCTAGGGAGGGAGGAGTCGTTGGGCGAAGCTGCCAACTCGTGCTGGGTTTGCCCGGGGGCAATGTTGTCGTGTCAAGGTGCCAGGCGGAGCGTTACACCACAGGTTCGCGAGAGGCTGTGGCGGTGGTTTGGGTGGAGGCCTTTATCCAGCGGTGGATTGACCGTGGTTGATGATGATCGTGAGTCTCGGTTTCAGTCTATCCCGGTGTCCCGAAGCAATTTGCAAAATTAGGGATTTTTGTCCCCCGGTTTAAACATTTCTGGCCTCATGCTTGACCCATGATGTGGGCAAAGGGTGAGGGCTACTCGAGTAGTGGTGGGCAGAGTTGGGTACTACGGTGGCGAGATGTTAACTGCCTCGCCTGGTATACAGGATGATGTAGGATCGATCCCGACCCTGATGCCTGCTGTATATTTGGAGTTTGCGTGTCTCTCTCTCCGTGGTCACGTGGGTTTTTCTCCGGGTCCTCCGGTTTTTCCCTCCACATTTGCTTGCTATGAATTTCCACGTGATAATCCACTTCGTTGAGCTATCATTTGTGGCCAGCTTGCTTCTGAAAAAGAGCTATACATCCCAGTGGGCCTTATCCTGGTAAAATAAAAATAGTTTAGTAATATTGGAGTGGGTGGGGCCTATGGACGGTAGGCGCTGTGGGCGGGGCTAGTGGCTGAGTAGGCGTGGCCATTGAAGCCGATTGAGGGAGGGGTCTGCCAGATCCACCCACGTGCCCTGGATGAGCCTTCCAGAAATGTTGTAGCATTCGTTACGGGTACAATTTGCGGCATTTATACTGATAGGAACCACCTGGTTCCACCAGCCCACAAGGGATTATTGTGTCCGTCCGTCTGTTGTGCATCCAAAAATGGGAGGGGCTGGGTGGAGAGGGGAGGGGCTGGGTGGGGAGGGTGGGGTGGGGCAGGGTGGGGCTGGATGGGGGGAGGGTGGGGAGGGACTGGGTGGGGAGTGTGGGGAGGGACTGGGTGGGGAGGGGCTGGGTGGGGAGGGTGGGGCTGGGTGGGGGGTGGTAGGGGTGGGGCTGGGTGGGGAGAGGCTGGTCACCCCGTGGTGCCCTTATGAAACTCAACATTTAACCTACTCACGCCGGCTTGTGCCCGCCCTCACAGTCGGCCATATTTGCGGAATACCACGCCGCCGTTGACCCTGGCCATTGACCGAGCAACCCAACGTTCCTACCAGCTCCCTCAAAAGGAATGTGTTAACGCACATTACATTTTATTAAAAATATATATAACGATGTGCGTTTGGCAGAGTCATGCAGAACCTAACACTTTGGCAACACTATTGATCGCAACCATACGCAGATGATGTTGCAGAAGTAGCAGCAGCAACAATTTGCGTTCAAAAGTGTCTAAATGAAACCATGTTTGAAATATATTGTACAAAGCTCACGGAGATACACAAAGACCACCCCTCTCCCCCCATATAGCCTTACACAGGCAGTTGTGGCAGCATGACGCCCCACCGCCTTTGTCTCCCCAATGCTGATGTTAACACACCGGGGTTCAAATATCTGCCACTGTTCTTGATCATACGCACACATGCACACAAGTTGCCTAAACAATATTTAACCACCACCACCATCATCATTCACAATGACCTGTAGCTGAAATATATCTACTACATTTATATTTCTGGCTTTGGGCGGTGCTAACAATGACGGCGGTGACGTATTTTCAGTCTGTGCTTCCAAAATGAGTGCCAAATCAGTCGGCCCTAAGGGGCCGTCCATAAATGACGTCACGCACCTAGGGGGGGGGAGGGTCAGACATTTGTGACGATGTGTAACGAGGGGGGGGGGGGGGTTGAGAAATGTGACGTCACATCAAAATGCGCAACTTTAAATAAATATAGACAACACGTTCTACTTAATAAAATAGACTTTTTAATAAATATTTTTTACAACATCAAAGTGGAGCGGCACATTCAATACGCACTACAATGACAATAGTTTAAAGCAATTTGAGGGGGGGGGAGAGGGTGGGCAGAGCTTTGTGACGTCATATTTGAGGGGGGGGTCTGACTTTTTGTGACGCCGTGTGACAAGGGGGGGTGAGAGGGTCAAAAATCGTCCAAAATTGCGTGACGTCATTTATGGACGGCCCCTAAGTTATATTTGAAAAGTGAACTCCAAGCGCGGTTCACGATGGCCGCACTGGACTTTTCACCGATGACAAATCGCCAGGATCACGTTGCGGTGACGGATCTGGGGCTGAGTTATTTTTGCAACTCGTGCCCTCAAGCCCTCAATTCTCCCACGCACGGTGAGGACGTTTGCAGCACGCGATCAGACGCACACCGCAGTCTCTGACGAAGTCAATTCTGCATTGTTTAGTGTCAGCAGTGGTTGCGTGGGGGGTGGGGTCTAAGAAATGTGCTCCCAAATCCCCTCGCTGTCTGTTGCGTTAAAATTCGAATTTATCTTTCGCTCGCCCGAGACGTTAAAATCTGTCGCGCTTCTATTACGGCTGAGATATCATGAAAGAATGAAAATGAGGAAAATAATAAACTTATCTGTGATATTCTAGCACACCGATACATCATCATTAGCCGGAAATCTGAGCTGCGTTTAGTTTGTCGCATTGCGGTAAATCTTGGAAAATGTGTTCCTTGCATGACCGATTTATATTCCACCTATCTCATCCATGCGACTTATAGTACACATGCTTAAAGTATAAACATGCTTTTATGATGTAAGATCTCAACGCATGAAATTTTGAATAGCTGTGGATTAATTCTCCTTCCTACCTTAAAGTGATTCTGTAATTCGATTCAAGAACGAATTCATTTTTCGGCGTTGCAGTGAATTGTAGCACCTCCAGTGGTTGCATGGATGATGTGTGAACCCATTATTTAAAATGTGTACAAAAAATAACATTAATCCTCGATGCGATGCGTGTCTCATGAGCTCACGGATGGACATTAATCGACGGTTCCGCCCCGAGCGTTACCCGCAACCATTATAACCTCATGTCAGTCCAGTATGATTTTGAAACATTTGTATACGGCTCTATGTATTGTATGAATAAATGTGAAACTTTAAAGAATTCACGTGTACCGTATTTGGTGTGTACATTATTTGCTATGCCACATAGATCAGAAATGTGGACATAAACTAGTAATATGGAAAAAAAGGCTGAACATTATATAATAAAATGTGCCGAGAACTACAGAAAAAGGAACACACGAGTTTATTTATTATTTTTATTTACCAGGTAAAGTCCACTGGGCTATTAGCTCTCCTCCCGATTTGACTTGGCCACAAATGATAGCACAACTAAATGGCTTTTGTGGCAATGTATAGCAGTCAAATAATCTAAATCTAAACGTGTGTCTAAATGTTGAGGGCAAAACCGGATGCCCACGAGAAAGTCCACGCGGCCACGGAGAGCGAGAGAGAGAGACATAGAAACTCCAAATATACAGTGCGCGCCACGGTGGCGATCGTACCCACGACCTCCTGCATACCAGGCGAGGGAGGCAACATCTCATAGAACATCGGCAGGTTAGAGACATCATATATACGAGCATGAACGGTGGAACAGGGCAGGCTGTGTCACGAGAATAAATGAATGACCGGCTGATCATCAAGGATAACGATGGAGTAGCAGGCAGCCTTTTCTTGAGAACTGCTTCTCGTGTTTAGTTTGTTGCCCTTCCCCCCGCACCTCCGATTAGAGTACGTACGGTGCGAAAGAAGTTCAACATCTGTACTACCATACAAGGGAGAGAACACGCCCAACGGAGTCATCCCGCTGGGGAGATGGAGCGATGAAATCGGCTCACGCTCAAGTGCCCGGTGGTTTGAACCCTCAGCGGGGCTGCAGAGGAGATACGGCTGGAAGGGCTTTGGAGACGTCGCAGGTGCAGGCCATGATGGGGCTAGAGGGAGGACCGAGGGCGAGGCGGGAGAGAGAGTGGATGTGACCAGGGCAGTGCTTCTTCATCTTGACCGCAAGCCTGCCACCGTTTTGGTTTTTCAATCGTAAAAATTTATTTTTTATGATGTTAATAAATGCATAGGGTTTGATGAAACAAAGTCGTTGTATTTGCGTGCCCGTGCCTCATTTGTGTTTTCGATGAATTACCGAATACAATAATCTGTGATAGTGGATGATATATTGTATGAAACGGAGAAAGTGCGGATGCAGATCGCCCGCGCAAAAATTGCCGCTTTGTTAAAATTGCGGATAAAAGGCACAATTATTGAACAACACATGTAGTTAATTTGAAAATATTCCGATTATACTGAAATTTGCGGTTTAATAGTTGCAAATGTTGGAAGAATGGGACATTGATAGGGACATTTTATTCAAAAGGCAAATTGGTGAAAAGATGGACATTTTTCGAATAGAAGTGGAGAACATTCTTGGCGAAAATACCCAAGAGACGGGAAAATTTACTGGGCATGTCTCACACCCCCAGAAAGGACATCTCACACCCCCTGGGGGGTGCGTGCACCCACGGGCGAAGAGCCACTGCACTAAAGGAAGAGCCATGGAAGTAGATGGGGGGCGGGGAAGTAAAGTCGTGCCATCGACTCCATGCAATAGATGGAAAAGACGAAGAATCGTGAGTGTTGGCGACGGTTTGTGATTTCGTCATCTAGCAGTGGATCGATCATGGACGGTGACAGCGTGTGTATGTGTGCTGCGCTAGGAACCCGGCGACCCCAGTTCAATTACCGCTCACGGCCACCAACACCAGTGACGATTATCCGAACCCGTCTTGGGTCTCCCCTAGGTCGACTCAGCCTCAAATGAGTACCTAGTGCGGTGTGCAAGCGTCGCCACTGGGGGAGACAAAGGCGGTCGGGCGTGGTGTTGACCACCCGCCCCCTCGTGTGCCGTGCCGGCTTTCACAGTCGCTCGCTAACGTCTGTTGAAGGCTACACGAGGGGGGAGGGGAATCTTTGTTGTTCTAGATTTGAAGTTTTCGTGACTGCAGGGATCCATACTTTTTGGTTCTTTCTGTAAAGTCACGTAGGTGGTTAATAAATTAAATCACGACGTTTCGGGGCAGTCCCACCTGATGACGGACGCTTGTGATTGAATGTATTTTATTTAAAACCAACGTGACTTTACCGAAAGAACCAAAGATTATCTATGTTGCTACCTAACGCACAGAAGATGAAATCGTTGCGGCTGGAACCACACCCCAGCCGTGATGTCACGGGATTGCAATGCCGGGGCAGGGCGAGTGGAGCTGGCGTCAACGCGCAGAGTGGAACCCTCGCCTCTATATATATCGCAGCAGTTCCTGTTGACGGCCACTCCGCTTCTTCCCATACAAGGCACGGCAGCTTGCTGCGACCACCCCCCCCCCCACCACACACACACACAACCTCAATCGGTCGAAGCCTTTTGAAGCGCCCCCCTCTCCCCTTGACAAATCGGCCCCATCTTCTTGGTTCTTTCGGTAAAGTCACGTCGAAGGAAAATAATAAAAGAATAAAAATAAAACAATAAAATAATTCTCACGACGTTTCGGAGAATTATTTTATTATGTTTTATTTTTATTATTTTTTATTTTCCTTCTACGTGACTTTACCGAAAGAACCAAGAAGATGAATCCCTGCAGTCACGAAAGCTTTAAATGGAAATCTGTCCCAACTGCAGGTTAAGCAATGCCATCGCCAAGCTGTAAGCAATTCTCCACCCTCTCCCCTCCTGTGCCTCTGTGTCTCCCCGCTCTGAAAAGGAGATGCATCGGCCGAGCTAGTAGGGACTGTTGAGCGAGCGTCTTCTGTGCGCACGGAGTGTTTCTATTGGGACGGACCGTGGTGGTCGGTGTGTCTGAGCGACGCCAAACCAGACGGTCAAAGACATTCCGTCCAAAAAAGTCCTTGGACAAATATGAGACGA